CAAACATTTTATGTTTATAATTTACTTTTAAATTTATCAATTTTCCGTCTATTATTAGCAATATACAATAATATGTTTCATTTTAAAAATTACTTTGAAGAATCAATATCATTCATGTAAACATGTTTAGATCACATAAATACAATTATAAAGAAATTGTGATTCAATTTAAAAAAGAAAATCACATTAAGAATATAATAATAAAATAAGTTCTCTCTAAAATAAGATTAATTTATAAATAATAATTATAGATTAATAAAAATTAAAAATTAAATTGTTTTGATTTTGACTAAATTACACTGATGAAAGACACTGAGTCAAATGAAATGATACGATTATAGAATTAGTTAAAAGCAATATTTCAATAATTATAATAAATGATAATTATTTCTTAGTGTGCTTACTGTGTATTGTAACTTAACAGAGTAACGGACAATTAATCAAATCCAAATTAACCTAATGTTGAGTAAATATACTGTTATTTTTGTTTAATTAACGAAAATCACTTTTTATGGGCAGATAATCAGACATAAAATAAAGTCAGAAAACAAATTAATTGCTAAACTGTTGAGAATTAGCTAACATTTACTCATATGCTGTATGAAGTAATGTGAAAATCGGTTTATAATCTTAGGGTTGTGTTGAAAGCGTTTTCGTGTTGACATGAATAGTGTCCGTCAAATACTTTAATACAGAATTGGCTGCAAATTAACTATTGATAGAAAGCAGACTTTATTTGATTGCTTGCATTAAAACAATTCAATAATTAATAAGAATAAAGACTCGCAATGACTGTTAGTGTCCGTCAAATACTTTAATACAGAATTGGCTGCAAATTAACTATTGATAGAAAGCAGACTTTATTTGATTGCTTGCATTAAAACAATTCAATAATTAATAAGAATAAAGACTCGCAATGACTGACTGACTCCCGACTCATCCATTCTCTATATAAACATCTGTTTATTTATTTAAGCAATTAATATTTCAAACAATTTTATGACACTATTTAAAGAATTGAAAGAATTAAATTAGATATAAATTATTTATTTTTGAATAAGAATTAATCAATATAATTGTTATTAATGTCCTAAAAATTATTTTTGAAATACAATTTTTATTTATTTTCCTAGACAATTATATACTAACCATAAATACAATAATCATTATCGGATAATGGCTATTCAAATTCAGTATAATATTGTACAATACGGAGTTTATTTACATTAAACGTTTAATATTTTATTTTATGCAATAATTATAGTATACAATATTAGAGAATGGTGCAGGATCACAGTAGTGTTAAATAATTTGTAATACTTAACAAATGATCAATTATTATGTCTTATCATATGATTATAAAAAAAATTAAATTGTTTTATGCAACTCAAGAGTAACTAAAAAGAGAAATATATTTTATATGTTTAACCCCTTATAAGCGAATTTGTTAAGATGTCTAAAACATAAAGTATTTGAGAGTAAAATTCAATTCACTTGAGTCAACACAAACAATATTTTCATAGAATAAACATATGATTTGTTCCGGATCAAATAATACTCAGGACAGGTCTTATACTGAATTATAGGATGTATTTTATGGCCATTATATCTACAGTATTGTGGCATTAATACAGCACCTCTTATAATATACGGAATTTGAAGAGACAATGTAAACAGACATCACTTTATCTACAAAATTGTAAAGAACTTCACTAATTATAGGCCTAATTATGACCACTATAGATACCCATTTACCAAATGAAAAACATTCATAAATCTTGTATATTACATTATTTAACCTAAGTTATTTCAAATAGAAAACTTGCAAAGTATTTCTGCTTAAATTATAGGAAGTTGCCCACAAATCAGTTGAAAATTGTTAAATAAATATCTGCGATGTGATTTATTGTGAAATATTTAATTTTTTGGTATGTATTTGCTTTAAATACATATTATTTAGGGTTTAATAAAGTATTGGTGAAAGTGAGTGTTATTCTGGTGAAACACACATATAGGTCTATAATTGAATTTCCAATACCCACTTGCTACTTTATTCTAAAGTAAAAGTTTTGAAAATCTAGCACTTTTGAAATATGATTCTTCACTTAAAGTTTTATTTCAGATTGTTATATACAGTATCAAAACTTTAACTTATTTACTAAACAATTTACCCGATAATTATAATACTGTGTTTTTGAACATGGTAAAAAATATTATTGTACAATATAGTAACTTAACTCATATTTCAAAATTATAGGCTTTATTGTGAAAAATAGTACCAAAAATTGTAATCATAGGTTTACTTCAAATATATTGACTAACAGTACAAAAAAGAAGTTCAGAAAAGAAAGAAAGAAAGAAAGTACTCATATTTCAAAATTATAGGCTTTATTGTGAAAAATAGTACCAAAAATTGTAATCATAGGTTTACTTCAAATATATTGACTAACAGTACAAAAAAGAAGTTCAGAAAAGAAAGAAAGAAAGAAAGGGAGGGAGAGAGAGAGAGAGAGAGAGTTTGTTTTTATATTTTAAAGCTTTTAACAAAATCAGTTATCAAACAAATAGTTGAAAATATATTTATGTTTACTCTGTGTTATAACATTATATAATACAGTAATACTGAGAGAGAGAGAGAGAGAGAGTTTGTTTTTATATTTTAAAGCTTTTAACAAAATCAGTTATCAAACAAATAGTTGAAAATATATTTATGTTTACTCTGTGTTATAACATTATATAATACAGTAATACAGTACATAAAAATAAATCATTTTTGAGACAAGTTTGGGTCTAAACGGCACATAAGTTTTAGTGATTGGGTTCGACACCATCCTCTCTCTCTCTCTCTCTCTTCAATTGTTTTGGGCTTTTATTTCATTTTATGTTGAATTGATTTTTAGTGGAAACTATCATTTATATAAAATTGAAAATTATATTCAGTCCTTTTAAAAATTCATTTTTTTAATAACCACAAACCAACTTTTATTTTTTAATTTTGTGTCAAATATTAAAACTAGAAAATACTTAAATTTTCTTCGATGAATTCAATGAAAATTTTATTTTAATAAATTATAAAATTGTATAGCTTGTATAGATTACGGTAACTAGGAATTGTTTTTACTTATATAGTACAGTATTTGAAAATAATAATAAAAGTTACTAAATCAAAATGAATTTAACAAAAGTTAACTTAAAAGATTTTAATTAAAATTTCTGTCTATATCTCTATAACATATGAAAGCATTACAATATTAATATACTTATAATAGGCATCAATTGATTACCAAGTATTAGCATTCTGAAGGAGAATAGTTTGGAAATAAATATTTCACATGATGTGATAATTAATCTTTTTTAAAACGTTTCATTTGTAGACAACGAGGGGGACGACGACTTATTCATCTTCCAGCGCTACAAACCCGGAGGTTTAGACAGTCTCTGCAAAGGATCACATTTTAATAAGAAAGAGATACGACTTATGTATCAGGGATTCAAACAAGTATTTAACTGCACTCTCTCTTTATCAGCTTATATTGCACTTTAAGTCAATATTTTATTTTTTAAATAAGTGTAGTCAATTTTCACATTGTATGTCTACATTGTATGTCTAAAATTCTTTTATTATAAATATGAGAATTTGTTATTTAATACAGAGATCTACTATACTTTTATTGAACCGTATATTGTATTATATTAGATATTGTGAAAATATATGCGAATAACAATTGAATTTTATCCAATATTTTGTATGGCTCTAGTAGGATTTATTATAATATAATTGTAATCAATTTCCATCATACTATTTATTTTTACTCAAACTGACAGTCTTAATGAAATTTTAAAACATGTCCTAATATCAAAATTATGTTAATGCCATACAATATGTTGGACATTTGAAATTGTTTTATAATAACGGTTTCATTTAAAATATTCTCGTTATTCTCGATATATTGATGACTTTTATATTTAATATTTAATAGAAGTTTTTCTATATAAAATCAAAATTTTCTAAACTCTAAATTCAAAAATTTTAGAATCTAACAAAATTATCAACAAAACCTATTACGGTATATCAATAATTAATTCCTATTATTTATTTATTTATTAAATTAATTTATTATAGATGAGATAAATACACAATTAAATTTTATTCAATTTAAGTATATTATCAAACTCATAGTTTGTTATAAAAGTGGTTTTATTGTTATTTGTTTAACTAATGCTTGAAATAAAACAAAAAATAGAGACTTTAATAGAGATGAGAGGAAACCCTCATAAATATGAAGTTTACTAATTCTGTCCAAAAGTGCTCATCAAATATTTAGTCCGCAAAGTATTTATTACTGTTTTTCTTGATAATTGAAGGCTTCAGACATTAAACTTTAATTGAAAAATAACACATTTATCTTATTTTCAAAAAGCTTTAGTTTTTAGATCAATAAAAACTTGAAAACAATAATCAATTTTTCAAATAAAGGAAAACTTATAACAATAACAACTGATTTATGACAGGAATGTCCGACAGGAATCTGTACCGAAGATGATTTTAAAGCCATATACAGTAAATACTTTCCACAGGGAGGTAAGGCATACCTGACCCTATATGTATACGCTATAAACTTAGATTATGATAGAGACTGAATTACTTTTGTTAAACTGATATACTCTGTACGATAAGAATATAATTTTAATTTTGTGTGTCAGACGCTACCAAATATGCACATCTAGTGTTCAACACATTCAAGTCTATGGGTTGCCAGCAAACAGGAGTTCTTAACTTTGAGGTAATTTTTTGACTACATCAGCATATTCTTACATTTTTTGATGAGAATGTTATTTTAAATAAATATAAATGCATTAAAAAATATTATTTTAACAAAACGTGTCTAAAATATAAGCTTTTATTATGACTTCATATAAAATTTAAGTTTTTAGTAGATATATTATGTTAATGTATAAAGTATAGTAAACTCTTTTTTAGTTAAAGTTATGCAGTAAAGAAATTATTATAATAATACTGTATAAACTCATTTTAAAAATTCACAGTTTATTAATTTTAATTATAAGAATTTAGGTAGTTTAACATTATATCATATAATACTCTGTAATATAATTTTAGAATTTAAAGTCAAAATAGGGTTTGAATTCCTGAATATAAAAATATTAATTTTGTTTTCAACTCAATTTCATGAATACTTTTACTTTAAACACGTATTTTATATGAATTTAATGTTTGTATATTCATAAGATTTAGTTTGTATAATATTTTTCAATTAAAATACTCTTTATTGAAATACTTTGTTCTCTCGATTTGAATGGCTGTCCCTATTATAGCAATTTCTAAACATGTTGTCATCTCTATCTCGGGGTTCATTATTGGGTATGAAAATTGACTTGAAAATTATTTTTAGTATTGTATTATAGCATTTCACACTTGATAGGCATTGAGAATCTATTTGATATACAGTATAATATAATTTTAATGATAGGACTCATGTATTGATTTTGACTTAGAAACTAATCTAAGAATTTGTTGATTTTTGAATACATTGTAATCGACGGCTTTTGTTATATATTTCACGCGATTATATCATACAATAAAAGAGAAGTTGCGGTGGATTTTCGGCTTATATGACATCAACGGCGACGGATTCATCACTAAATCAGAGATGTTGGTCATCGTGAGCGCCATTTACGATATGTTGGGTATGTCTCCCAACCCATACTTTTATGATTAATAACTGTTATGACAAAACATCACTCATTGAATCCATAAATTTATAGGCGATTATGTCATACCATTCGTGGATTCCGTGGCGCCTAAAGAACACGTCGAGAGGCTGTTCCACGTATGCCATCCCTAACTCTTTTGTGTCATTTCATGCAATTTTTATCTTATTTTGTGCGCCAATTGTTTTTATATAAACTTTTTTTTCAAACCTTTTAAATGTGTCCACAAATCGATTTCTTGTGGCACTTCTCTCCTTCTGAAGGCTTTTTTAATTATACTTTTTATGGACTATTTGTCAAACTCTGAGCCTTTAATGAGTTTATTTTCCTCCATTCAATAATTGATAATTAATGTTAAATCTCTTTCTCAAAAAACTAATTATTTTCTTCTCAAAGTCTGCTTTTAGTGACAAATATTTAGATTTTATTTTTGTATAACATTTTTCTTAATTAATTAATTTGTTAAAACGAATTCAGTAATTTGGTTGACAAAATCGGGTCAAATATTTTTGGGTTTCGATTTGTGTTTTAGAAAAAACAGATATTTGAGGCCTGGCTGTAATCTCCGAGCATATGACAGACATATAAAGTTGTATTCATTCTTGTTTTGCCATAAGTTTTATTACTAAATAATATCTTAGAGTTCATGCAATTCTACACTCATTGTTGCGACAAATTCTAGCTTTACTTATATTAATATTTGACTCTCTCTCTCTCTCTTTATCAGCTTATATTGCACTTTAAGTCAATATTTTATTTTAAAAATAAGTGTAGTCAATTTTCACATTGTATGAGCACTAAAATTCTTTTATTATAAATATGAGAATTTGTTATTTAATACAGAGATCTACTATACTTTTATTGAACCGTATATTGTATTATATTAGATATTGTGAAAATATATGCGAATAACAGTTGAATTTTATCCAATATTTTGTATGGCTCTACTAGGATTTATTATAATATAATTGTAATCAATTTCCATCATACTATTTATTTTTACTCAAACTGACAGTCTTAATGAAATTTTAAAACATGTCCTAATATCAAAATTATGTTAATGCCATACAATATGTTCTCTCTCTCTCTCTCTCTCTCTCTCTCTCTCTCATACTACCGGTCTATCATTTCATGCATTTCTTTTCTATTCATCCGATAAAATATTGTCAGTCTTTTCTGTGATCTACAAACAGTTCACATAATAATAAAGAAATGATTTTTTTCTTATGTTGACTAACACTCAGCTAATAGACGCCGATAAGGACGGTGTCATATCGTTTGAGGAATTCACTGAATGGTGTCAAAAGGTTTTATATAATTAATTGTGTATTTGTTTGAATTATAAACTCAATAATGATCGCACAAATAGGATGAAGACAGAGCACAGGCACTACTCATGTTTGACACAATATTTTAATATTACGTTTGAATGGGAGAATCGGTTGGAAAGAATCGCTCATTTGGTATATAAATCGCTATATAATTGTTAAACAAAAACTACAAATTCTGTTAACAAAACAATGTTATTGATTAGATTTATAGAGCATTAAATCGTATGTAATGTAATGTCACATACAATACAAAACACTTTGTTATAACTTGAACACACAATCCAGTGGATCACTAAAAACTATTTTGACGTTTCATTAGTCAAACACTACAATATAGTTATTGTTTAGTTGTCACCAGAAATGTAATCATTATTTTGTTAATAACAACAAAATCAAAACTAAAAGCCAAACATCACTTCCAGGACTTATAAGTGAATCATTTTGAGAGTAAAACAAAATTTTATATTAAATTATATAATAGGAAAACAAACTACAGAATTACAATAAAACAAATTATCGTCTAATTAGAAAGATTAATAATAAATTAAATTATTAAATCCATTTAAGCTTTGTTTAACACTGTATTCACGTTTTGATTTTGGATTTTATTTTGTTTACCGAAAATAATTTGATTATATTTAACGACTCGATTAAATGTTTCATATTTTGACACATTTATCAAAATTGGATTTATTAAAGCATTATACACTGAGTTAATCATAAATCAAAAAACAATAAATCAATTTCTAATATAAGTCTCGCAAAATGCTTTAAGTATTACTTATAGTTTAATATAATAAGAAACGGATTGTTAAACAAAACGAAACAATTATATGACTTTTATTAGACAAAAATTCAATAAAACGAATGTTAAGTCAATATTTCTTTACTCTATCTTTTATTACATAAATATTCAATTGAGTGGAGAATAAGGAATGCCTAAAGGAGTAGGTCTTTCACCATAAAGTAAGTTATATTGTGTAATTGCCTTAATTGAATTAATATTTTTATAATATTCTAATTAGATTACTTGTATAATATTTTTAATTACAAATTTAAATAGTAGGAATTTATTCTGTATTATATGTACAGAATATTGGAGGACATAACTAGAGTGGACGGGTATATCATTACATTTTTCAATTAAATATCGTTCAAATAGAGTGCATGTCTTGCTGTCCGCCCCCACACTCTTCATGTCCAGCACTCCTAATATTATATCTTTCATTGAATGAGAAAATTGTAAATCTTTTGACAGAAATCATGGCAAATGATAAGTTGGACTTCATTTCAAATAAATTAGATTATGATTTATAGAATAATCGTATAAGCTATGGTTAATCTAGAAAATTAGTTTCATTATATTTATAATATTCAAGTGCAAGTATAATTTTCTAAAATTATAGGCTTAGTGACATAAAAATTTGATGAAATATTAGATATTGATCCAAATAATGGGCAAATTATATTCAAATTCACTTATCATTAATAAGAGTTTTGATATAAATTATTATCTTTTTTGTGGTTTAGGCTATATTTAACATTGCATTAGAAAATCAAATTACCGTACTACAAATGTTTGATCATTTGTATATTATTGTCAAATGCAGTTAGTCAATTTTGCTACTTAAGCATGCTATGTAAGATTTGTCATAAATTTAATTTATTTTATCATTTTTATTATTTAAGAAGATTTTTATATATTATGCATTCAATTAGAAATTTAATTACATTTCAGTTTAATGATTTTTTGTTGTAAAAATGTATTAATTTGCTTTAAAATTAAACTGCATTATTAAACAACTTTAGCCAGAATATATTATTAAAACACAAGCTTCAGGTAAATATTTTAATTACTTTAGTTTGAAAT